AACATCTTTTGTGCATGATTTGCTTCTTTTTTTCAAATTTGGAGGTGCTTTTTTTTCTCACTTTCTCTGGAAATTTGGTCACCACTGGAACGATGCGCATGAATGACCCATTGGTACACTGCTGACTACTTCTGCTTTTCCTTTGCACTTGATTTTGAGAAGAAAAAAAAATAGACTGCAACAAGTTGGCAATACTGCAGACGATATCTGGAGCCAGAAATCATGAAAGGTAAAGAGACTTCACCTACAACATTACATCTTAGCATCTAGAAATGCAACTTTGCCATTTCACCAACTTTTGAACATTCAAAAGATCCATCTGATGAAAACGTAGGTGAATTTCCCAGTGTGGAAAACACTTAGAAATGTAGTGAGAAACATTATGTCTCATGGTGAGATGCAGACAGGCACCTGCGCAGGGCACTAGCAATCACATATGCTTCTCATCATCTCTGAAACCTGGCAGTGCAGATCCTGAGAAAGTGCACGTGTGTTGTTGTTGGCTGTGACACTTTGATCAGTCATCTTTAAATCTCTATAATGTGTACATGTGTGCACCACAGCCTGGTCTCATAAAACTTTAGATACTCTCTAGCCATGCCAATCTACCGCAGATTGACTTAATATTCCGCTTAAGATAGGGCGGGTGAATATATACGAGTTGAATTTGAGTATTTTTACAACAGTCTATGCAAGGAAAACTGCCAACAGCTGTGAAGAAAGCAGAAGTACTTAGATAATTTCCAGAGATACAGTATGCACAGCAGTCACATGGGGGAGTGGATACAGAGGGAATGACTGGGCAGGAGTGAGAGGGAGAAGCCAAACAGAACTAACAGCTTGAAAATATGTGAAGATGTCCTCACATATTCATTATCATAACTGATTTTTTTTTTTTACTTTTGTAACTTTTACTTTTAACTTTCAAGTTTTATGTTTACCATATAAGAAGAGTATATTTAGTGGAAATATCAATCTCTACCTCTAACTGGTACATCGAGCTTAAATGGGGGAGAAGCTGCACATGAACCACAGGGGGACACAGCAAATTAACTCCAAGAACAGTACTCTTCTCAGCCACACAATGCAGGAGGTCTGTTAGTGGTTTCAGTCCAGCCCAGCCAGAAGAAAACATGCTGCCTCATACATTCCTCCCAGAATGGAGAGGAGGGGGAGAGTCCAAAAACAAGGAGGTGCAGGGAAAGGAAAAGCAGGCAGACAGGTGTATGGCTGGCAAAGGAAAAGGAAAGAGTGAGCAAAGTGGAGGCCTGAGTGCAAATTTTGCTGTGGAAGCTTTATATAAATTTACAGTCAACGCATCATGAATTTGAAGCGAAAGGAGAACAAGGAGACTGAGTATCTGGACGCTGTGTTGGCTTCTTGTCACTGTATTCAGAGTGCGTCTCCTCATTTGTTTTTACTAGCTTGGATTCATAATCTAAATGTTTCTCCTGGGCATTTTCATGTTTCCACACTAGAGCTGGCAGCACAAAATGTTGAATGTGATGTTGAATCTGCAACTTGATCTTTAATTAAGACCTTAGCAACATTATAAGTTCCAGCTATAACAGTGGCTGTTTGTTTATTTTTCTTCCCTCTTCTCACCACTTTTATGTGCAAACAGAGCTTAATTCTTTCACTGCATCACAGTTTGGATACTTACATTACTGGACTTTGATGAACCATGTGGACTAGATGGCCTTTGACAGGGTCATAGCAACTTGTTGAGCCCCTGACTGCACAAAATACTAGATTCTGCTAGTTGTAGTTGACAGTTTAACTCACACAAACACAAACGATGCCAAAACTAAGGTAACGGCAGTGCCCGAATAGAATTTGATACTGAATTTGTCAGACAGACAGCAAAGCCTCCTGCTACTGGCTGAAATGTTGCTCTCTTTCCATGCCACACCCAAAACAAAACCAAAAACTCTTGTTTACCGTTTTAGTGTAATAATAATAGCATTAATTACCTTCATTTCTACATCTCTCAGTATCTCTCAAAATCAGAGTTACATGCTGCTTCCTAGAATTGACCAAAAAATAGCATTAAAACATTCCAAAATCCATGAAATGAGCTAAAATAAGAACACAAGAGAACAAATTTAAGATGACATCATTTTAAAAAACCAAATACAAATAGATAGATATAGATTTTTTTTTAGGTTGTTTAATATTAGCTGAAAAAGTTTGTTCCACAGCATTGGGCTTAAAACTGTGAAAACATGGTCCCCCTTTGTTTTAAGCCTGGGCGGTCAAACCTGTAACAGTAACTACAGTAACAGTAGCTCAGTGCAGCTCAGGTGGTAGTGCCACCTACTAACTGGAAGGTCAGGGGTTGGTTTCCAGTCTGCGCAAGTGGGTGTGAATTGGTGAATGAGGCAAGTTGTGTAAAGTGCTTTAAGTGGAAAAGTGCTGTATAATAACTGGTCTATTTACCATCTTTTGGGTATGTGGCAGTACATGGTGTTAGACATTTTGAGATGGATAAAATGGAGCCATACCATTAACAGATTTAAAAGTAATCAGAAAATCGAAAATTGCATTCTGTAGGGAAAGGGAGGGCTGTGTCATATACACTATAAATGGGAAACTGCTGGATCATTTAGGCATGTATACAGTGAGTTTCAATGGCAATGGTAGATGAAGATAAAAACATAAAATCCTGTGTGCGTTAACAACAGCTTAATTGACAATGTCAGCAAAAACAGCAAAATATAATAAAGCAAAAACACGACTAGTAAGTGTAGACCTTTATGAACAAGAATGTTTTGAGTCTGTTTTTAAATGTTTGCACAGATGCACAGACATATCTGATCTCAACTCAGTGATCACAGTGTTCGAATCTGGAGGAGATGAGGGTGTGAATAAGCTGTCATATTACATGGACCAACTAGTCTGACCTCAGCCATGTTTCTAATCTGTGCAAACAAGACTGGACAAGACTTTAAACACATTAGTTGAAACTAAGATGATGAAAAACACCCAGGTTTCAAGCAGGTTAATTTGAATGGATTCTTAGTTATCCAAGGCAAGTAATGTAGCTAATTTAGCTAATAGTTATTCTGTTAGCTTTGCAGGTAAGTTTTTGGACTCTGAGGTATACTGGATTAATTTTTATGAGTTTTAGTTGAAATCCTTACAGAGATGTTATTATTTAATAAGATTTTGATCCCATTACTGTTTTGTTTCTTATGCTGCTGTTGTTTTTAGTCGAGCCAAACAAAGGCATTCAAGTTTTTGTAGTACTAGTTTTTGTGGCGCAGCCTATTTTGATTTGGTACAGTTGAGCAAACACTGGTGTTAATTAGACTCCAGAACAAAAAGAATAAAACATGAAAAATGGCTAGAAAACCTTTGGAGTGAAAAGATGAAGAAATGATTATACAATCTGAGGGTAAGTAAATACAGAAAGGCTTAGTTGTTGAAGATTGTACATTTCCTTTGGCCTTGCAGTCTTACTGTATAAAACTAAACAGGCCTTTCTTGCTTCTTTTTTTTACTTTCTCAGCCTGGTTGTCCAAATCAGTTTAATCTTGAAAAAACATCATCCATTTACTGGATGTTAACTGCAAAGATCTTGTGTTTTACTGCCTAACCACAATAAAAGAGGGCTCTATTGAAATGGCCTTTCTATACATTCTGGTTCACAGTTTGCAGCGACACATACCGACCATTTATATTCTTTTGCAGAAACCACGCATTCCAGTCACAGGGCACCTAAATGGCTGAGATGTCAACAAAGCTTTAGAAAGGGACTCATTTTACTTTATGAGTTGTGGTCAAGACCTCCACTCTGATCTGGAGGAGGCCCCATCTCCTAACTCTGGTTCCACTTAAGGCTTGGATTTGCAGGAGGAGGAGATTTTACTGGTCAAAACAGCAGAATGAACCAATGAAGGATGGGAACATGAAAAACTATTATGATGTGGAGTGGGCATCTCTATTTGAACAGAAAATTGGATCATGCAGTGAGTGATGTGGGGAGGTCAGAGGGCATACAGAGCCTGTTATTTACCGAGGATAACATTTTGCACAATGCCTGTAGCGAAAGTAAAGTCCAAAGGGAGAAAAAGGGTGTGTATGGGGTTTGGAAAGTCCAGAGCCCCCTGAGATAAAACCTCAGCAAAGGAACCACAAACATGAAGTGGTGCTGCTTTCACGAACACTAAAAGTCAGAGAGTAAAAGATCAGAACGACATCCTGAGATCTGACTGTTAGACTTCACGAAGTTTATATTTATATTTTAACCTTTCTTCTGAAACTTTTCCCTTCGAAGTATATCAGGGACACAGGAAAGGCTGTTCAAAACTGCTAGTGTTCATATTTTCATAGTTTCTATGGTTGTTCATTGTACATCATCTACACACGAGGGCTTTGACAGCAACAGGCTTTACCTGTGGATGCTTGTCTGCATCACTCAGTAGTTTTTGTCTGTGGCTTACATGGTTTGGGAAAGATTAGGGTTAATCTTAAAGCTACAGCATAAAGCAATGCCCCCAAACCAGTCCACCAAGAGGTGGCTTTCAGAGTTTGGTGTGGAAGTTTAGCTGATCTCTGCTCCATCCAACACCTGTGGGATAAATGGGAATGTAGACTGCGAGACTACTTTGTGTGAGCGGGACCAAGAAAAACTTTGCAAGAAGAATGGAGGCTGTTGTAGCAGCAGATGGTTTTTGGCATTTCTGGCTGTGTTTTACAATCTTTATTCCTATTAGTGTTCACACTGAGGACATGAACTATTCATCGTGCGCAGAAATACCGAATGTCTCAAATGTCTCACAAAGAATGTCCAAAATATAAATATATTTTGATTGTTTTGTACTTTTATTCTTATTTTTAATCTTGTTGGACACGAAGTATATAATTTATCTATTTCTATTTCTAGTCCTTGGTTTATGATTGTTTTCTGATTATGATGCATCTTTATGCTGCATATTCTGTCCTTCACATGTTTCCTCTAAAAAAGCAAAGAGTTCAGTTTAAACTTCACTGATGTTTGTTTACCTAAACCGTGTAAATCCATTGTATATAATAAGGTTCACACATTTTTAAACACTTTTTTTTTTTAGCTGTTTGACAAAACATACTAAAGTCATATAATGAGTATGGGCTTTGCTTTAATTTGAAAGATATACAAAGATAAACAAATATTGTATTAACCACCATGCCTTCACAGCCATTTTTATACACAAGTGGCTCAAAAGACTTATTTTAAATACTTTGTCAATGATCCTTTGTGAATGAGGTCTTTGAAGTT